TTGTAGGAGTGGCTGCTGTAGGAGTGCCTGTTTTAGGAGTGTCTTTTGTAGGAGTGACTGTCGTAGGAGTAACTGTTGTAGAAATGACTATTGCATAAGTGACTGCTGATTGGCAGTAATGGGAGCCAAGGCAAAAGCAATGAGTAACAGATGTAAGCATGACTGACTGACTGACTGACTAAGTGACTGTCAAAGGTACGAGGGACGAGTGCTGACGCACCAGTGTCAATACCAAACTGACTTCTTTTTTTTTTTAGTTCACATGCACAAAGAGATAGAGAGAGAGTGACGCACATGTTATGAATCGCCAGAGTAATTTGATTTCCAGGTAGATTTGTCCCAGCTGCAATATGTCCCTGAGTGCAGGTGACTTCTGATTACTGCGTCTCTTTGTACACCTCTCACTCACTCACTAATAAATACCACATTGTCAAATGACCTTCACGTTGTTTGAATAATATATATATATATATATTATATATATATATATATATATATATAATATATATATATATATATATAAATATATATATATATATATATATATATATATATATATATATACATGCAATAAGATCACAGTAAACAGTGATTACAAAATATGCAAAACAACCACTCTGAAAGAATAGAGAAATTCCAAGCGCTTTCGTGACTACTCACATTATCAAGGAACTATAGTTCCTTGATAATGTGAGTAGTCACGAAAGCGCTTGGAATTTCTCTATTCTTTCAGAGTGGTTGTTTTGCAATATATATATACATATATATATATTATATATATATATATATATATATATATATATATATATATATATATATATATATATATATATATATAATATATATATATAATATTTATTATCACACTGGCCGATTCCCACCAAGGCAGGGTGGCCCGAAAAAGAAAATCTTTCACCATCATTCACTCCATCACTGTCTTGCCAGAAGGGTGCTTTACACTACAGTTTTTAAACTGCAACATTAACACCCCTCCTTCAGAGTGCAGGCACTGTAACTTCCCATCTCCAGGACTCAAGTCCGGCCTGCCGGTTTCCTGAAACCCCTTCATAAATGTTACTTTGCTCACACTCCAACAGCACGTCAATTATTAAAAACCATTTGTCTCCATTCACTCCTACCAAACACGCTCACGCATGCCTGCTGGAAGTCCAAGCCCCTCGCACACAAAACCTCCTTTACCCCCTCCCTCCAACCTTTCCTAGACCGACCCCTACCCCGCCTTCCTTCCACTACAGACTGATACACTCTTGAAGTTATTCTGTATCGCTCCATTCTCTCCACATGTCCGAACCACCTCAACAACCCTTCCTCAGCCCTGTGGACAACAGTTTTGGTAATCCCGCACCTCCTCCTAACTTCCAAATTACGAATTCTCTGCATTATATTCACACCACACATGAGCGTTGGTAAAACTATACTCTCAAACATTCCCCTCTTTGCCTCCAAGGACAAAGTTCTTTGTCTCCACAGACTCCTAAGTGCACCACTCACCCTTTTCCCCTCATCAATTCTATGATTCACCTCATCTTTCACAGACCCATCCGCTGACACATCCACTCCCAAATATCTGAATACATTCACCTCCTCCATACTCTCTCCCTCCAATCTGATATCCAATCTTTCATCACCTAATCTTTTTGTTATCCTCATAACCTTACTCTTTCCTGTATTCACTTTCAAATTTCCTTCTTTTGCACACCCTACCAAAATTCATCCACCAATCTCTGCAACTTCTCTTCAGAATCTTCCAAGAGCACAGTGTCATGAGCAAAGAGCAACTGTGACAACTCCCACTTTATGTGTGATTCTTTATCTTTTAACTCCACGCCTCTTGCCAAGACCCTCGCATTTACTTCTCTTACAACCCCATCTATAAATATATTAAACAACCACGGGACATCACACATCCTTGTCTAAGGCCTACTTTTACTGGGAAATAATTTCCCTCTTTCCTACATACTCTAACTTGAGCCTCACTATCCTCGTAAAAAACTCTTTCACTGCTTTCAGTAACCTACCTCCTACACCATACACCTGCAACATCTGCCACATTGCCCCCATATCCACCCTGTCATACGGCCTTTCCAAATCCATAATGCCACAAAGACCTCTTTAGCCTTATCTAAATACTGTTCACTTATATGTTCACTGTAAACACCTGGTCCACACACCCCCTACCTTTCCTAAAGCCTCCTTGTTCATCTGCTATCCTATTCTCCGCCTTACTCTTAATTCTTTCAATAATAACTCTACCATACACTTTGCCAGGTATACTCAACAGACTTATCCCCCTATAATTTTTGCACTCTCTTTTATCCCCTTTGCCTTTATACAAAGGAACTATGCATGCTCTCTGCCAATCCCTAGGTACCTTACCCTCTTCCATACATTTATTAAATAATTGCACCAACCACTCCAAAACTATATCCCCACCTGCTTTTAACATTTCTATGTTTATCCCATCAATCCTGGCTGCCTTACCCCCTTTCATTTTACCTACTGCCTCACGAACTTCCCCCACACTCACAACTGGCTCTTCCTCACTCCTACAAGATGTTGTTCCTCCTGCCCTATACACGAAATCACAGCTTCCCTATCTTCATCAACATTTAACAATTCCTCAAAATATTCCCTCCATCTTCCCAATACCTCTAACTCTCCATTTAATAACTCTCCTCTCCTATTTTTAACTGACAAATCCATTTGTTCTCTAGGCTTTCTTAACTTGTTAATCTTACTCCAAAACTTTTTCTTATTTTCAACAAAATTTGTTGATAACATCTCACCCACTCTCTCATTTGCTCTCTTTTTACATTGCTTCACCACTCTCTTAATCTCTCTCTTTTCTCCATATACTCTTCCCTCCTTGCATCACTTCTACTTTGTAAAAACTTCTCATATGCTAACTTTTTCTCCCTTACTACTCTCTTCACATCATCATTCCACCAATCGCTCCTCTTCCCTCCCGCACCCACTTTCCTGTAACCACAAACTTCTGCTGAACACTCTAACACTACATTTTTAAACCTACCCCATACCTCTTCGACCCCATTGCCTATGCTTTCATTAGCCCATCTATCCTCCAATAGCTGTTTATATCTTACCCTAACTGCCTCCTCTTTTAGTTTATAAACCTTCACCTCTCTCTTCCCTGATGCTTCTATTCTCCTTGTATCATATCTACCTTTTACTCTCAGTGTAGCTACAACTAGAAAGTGATCTGATATATCTGTGGCCCCTCTATAAACATGTACATCCTGAAGTCTACTTAACAGTCTTTTATCTACCAATACATAATCCAACAAACTACTGTCATTTCGCCCTACATCATATCTTGTATACTTATTTATCCTCTTTTTCTTAAAATATGTATTACCTATAACTAAACCCCTTTCTATACAAAGTTCAATCAAAGGGCTCCCATTATCATTTACACCTGGCACCCCAAACTTACCTACCACACCCTCTCTAAAAGTTTCTCCTACTTTAGCATTCAGGTCCCCTACCACAATTACTCTCTCACGTGGTTCAAAGGCTCCTATACATCCTATATATATATATATATATATATATATATATATATATATATATATATATATATATATATATATATATATATATATATATATATATATATATATAAATATATATAGTATATATATATATATATATATATTATATATATATATATATATATATATAATATATATATATATATATAATATATATATATATATATATGTTATATATATATATATATATATATATATTATATATATATATATATAATATATATATATTATGACCTTTATTATTGGTTCCTGAGCACTATCGTACCTTCTTCGAAAACTGTGTATGGATTTGACCTCCACTGGTGACTCAAGTGTATTCTTACATCCATGTGGTTCTCTTCTCTGTGTCTTCCAGCTGTGTCTCTCTGCCTCACACTTCAGGCTCTCCCTATCATCCCTATGGAGTCATCAAGGACTTTTTACGTTGTAATCATGGCTGTCTTTTCCGTCTCTTCTAACAGCTCTGTTTCTTCGGTTCCACTATCAGATTGGTTTCATATCTGTGAGTATCACAGAGTATTTGTAGATGCTTAAAAAGTGTGTACTTCATGCTGGTGCAGCGTACTCGAAAACATGTTTGAATATATTGCCTTCAGATTCCTAAAAATTTCCTTGTTATTGCCCCAGAAGTCAGTTCCAAAATTTCCAATCTTCATAATCAGTATTATGCGGCTCGTGTACAGTTCTGGCGACATGTCTGGTGTGATATTCACTCCCGGATCTTTCATCTCTGGAATTTGTTGTTCCTCATCTCCCCAGTTGTATTCCGTCTCTGGTCTTCTCTTTCTCCCCTCCCCTTCAATTCACATTATCCATACACTACTTATTACTTTATGCGTGTGTGTGTATGTGTGTGTTCAGAGCAATGCTTATAAGATTAAATAATCATTATCGATATTGGTTTAACCTGTTCGACTCCTCAGACGTTCTCAGCGCATTTTCTTAAGGGGAGCCGTACACTTGCAGTAGTAAGGAGCGGCTACCGAGCACACAGCATCTCATTAGTACAGTCCTCCCTACAAGGGAACGACGCCCAAGAGTCCTCCCTACAAGGGAACGACACTCAACAGTCCTCCCTACAAGGGAACGACGCCCAACAGTCCTCCCTACAAGGGAACGACACTCAACAGTCCTCCAGAAATTTAGACTCTTGCTGCACTAGCAGCGGCAGTGAGCGTAGTGGACTCCGAGAACTGTACATCACAAACGAGCGGAAAAACTCACGCAAACCCTTTCTAACTTCTTATCACAAACTCGGTCCTCTTGCTTCTAAGTTAGAGAGTGATGCCACAATATGTCACAAGAGTGACAGATATCTAAAAAAATAAAAAAGGTTTTAAGTGCTCAGAGACGCCAAGGAAAGTCCGTGGAGGAGGTCATCCCGGGAGCAAGTGTCGCAGCACCGCCATGGATCCAGGAAGCATCTTCCAGATCATCACTAACAGCACTCTGCTGGGTGAGTACACAAATCTTTCACACTGCTGGGTGAGTACACGAGTCTTCACTGTCTGTTGGATAAGTACACTAGTTTTTCACTCTCTTTTGGGTGAGTACGTGATCTTTCACTCTGCTGGGTGAGTACGTGAGTATTCACTCTGCTGGGTGAGTGTACGAGTCCTTCACAAACTGAGTACATATCTTATCTCTTCCTTAGCACTTAAATATATGTTCGTGGGGGGAAGGAGGAGCTAGATGTTCACAGTAAATTGAATATCAGACTTGACATTTAATGTATCTCAGCTTACAAAACCGACTTAAATTAATATATCAGAACAATGCGTATCACTGACTACACACACGCAGCCAGGAGCTGTGACTCGACCCCTGCAACCACAATTAGGTGAACACACATACACACACACACACACACACACACACACACACACACACACACACACACACACACACACACACACACACACACACATACACACACACACACTGGTGTGTGTGTGTGTTTACATTCTCAAGTTGTGGACCAACACTGTCCCTGTGTCTAGTTCGTGTACTTGTCACTGTGTGTGTGTGTGTGTGTGTGTGTGTGTCAGGAAAGTTGGTGTGTCCAGACAGATTGTGTTTCCGGGAATGGTGTTGAGGGGCTTGTATCTCTCTAATTGTGCATGCGGGGGTTGATATCAAGTTCTTGGACTCCCAACCCTTTCCGGTCGCTCTCGGTGAACTTGTGTTTAAGAGGTTGTTGTGTTGAATGACTCTTACTAGCTCTGAGGCAGACTAAACGAAAGTTGCAGAATATTCTTGCAACTGCAGAACGCTTCTCCCTACACGAAAAACTTCACCAATGACTTGAAGCTCTATGCGGAGTGAAACATAACTTGACAAAGCTCTACACAGAGCTAAACACTGTTCTGCAACGTATATTTTTTTTTTTTTTTGTTATTATGGTCCAGAATACGACCTTTTCAACCGGTCTGTATTGACCATACTGTATCTGCTGGGGTTGAACCCTGGGCTCTGAGGTCCTTCCTTCACACTTTAATTAAATGATGTCATCTCGTTTCTTTTTTAATCCAAAATTTGTTGGAATTGTGAATGAAGATTCGTGATGAAGGAACTGTACTTGTTTAGATGTGTTTGCTTGGGTCGAACCGTAGGTCCTACCTCAGATATACTTTTTTTTGGCCCTCAGAGCCCGCTCGTACCTTTCCTTGAAACTGTGTATGGAGGACTTGCTAAAGGAAGTATAGTTGGTAGAGGGTAAATAGCCCCTACTGCAAAGAGGCGTAGAGGTCAAAATTAACCTGCCTACCACAGGGAAGAGAAGAAGGTAGAAGAGAAGTGGAGGAGTAACGAGAACTATAAATCTGTAGCCATTTAGCGAACATTGTAATGAAGAGGAAAAACAAGCTGGTGGATCATATGAGGCTGACTGACCCCCGTGGGGGTTGACTGATCCCCTCCCCTGGGGTTGACTGGCCCCTCCCCTGGGGTTGACTGGCCCCTTCCCCTGGGGTTGACTGACCCCTCCCCCTGGGGTTGACTGGCCCCTCCCCTGGGGTTGACTGGCCCCTTCCCCTGGGGTTGACTGGCCCCTCCCCTGGGGTTGACTGGCCCCTCCCCCTGGGGTTGACTGGCCCCTTCCCTGGGGTTGACTGACCCCTCCCCTGGGGTTGACTGGCCCCTCCCCTGGGGGTTGACTGATCCCCTCCCCTGGGGTTGACTGGCCCCTTCCCCTGGGGTTGACTGACCCCCGTGGGGGTTGACTGGCCCCTTCCCCTGGGGTTGACTGACCCCTTCCCCTGGGGTTGACTGGCCACTCCCCTGGGATTGACTGATCCTCTTCCTCTGGGGTTGACTGGCCCCTTCCCCTGGGGTTGACTGATCCCCTCCCCTGGGGTTGACTGGCCCCTTCCCCTGGGGTTGACCGGCCCCTCCCCTGGGGTTGACTGGCCCCTTCCCCTGGGGTTGACTGGCCCCTTCCCCTGGGGTTGACTGGCCCCTTCCCCTGGGGTTGACTGGTCCCTTCTCCTGGGGTTGACTGGCCCCTCCCCTGGGGTTGACTGATCCCCTCCCCTGGGGTTGACTGGCCCTTCCCCTGGGGTTGACTGATCCCCTCCCCTGGGGTTGACTGATCCCCTCCCCTGGGGTTGACTGGCCCCTCCCCTGGGGTTGACTGATCCCCTCCCCTGGGGTTGACTGATCCCCTCCCCTGGGGTTGACTGATCCCCTCCCCTGGGGTTGACTGATCCCCTTCCCCTGGGGTTGACTGATCCCCTCCCCTGGGGTTGACTGATCCCCTCCCCTGGGGTTGACTGATCCACTCCCCTGGGGTTGACTGATCCCCTCCCCTGGGGTTGACTGATCCCCTCCCCTGGGGCTGACTGATCCCCTCCCCTTGGGTTGACTGATCCCCCTCCTCTGGGGTTGACTGATCCACTCCCCTGGGGTTGACTGGCCCCTCCCCTGGGGTTGACTGGCCCCTCCCCTGGGGTTGACTGGTCCCTCCCCTGGGGTTGACTGACCCCTCCCCTGGGGTTGACTGATCCCCTTCCCCTGGGGTTGACTGATCCCCTCCCCTGGGGTTGGCTGATACCCTCCCCTGGGGTTGACTGATTCCCTCCCCTGGGGTTGACTGATCCCCTCCCCTGGGGTTGACTGATCCCCTCCCCTGGGGTTGACTGATCCCCTTCCCCTGGGGTTGACTGATCCCCTCCCCCTGGGGTTCCTGGGTACTGATCCCCTCCCCTGGGGTTGACTGATCCCCTCCCCTGGGGTTGACTGATCCCCTTCCCCTGGGGTTGACTGATCCCCTCCCCTGGGGTTGACTGATCCCCTCCCCTGGGGTTGACTGATCCCCTCCCCTGGGGTTGACTGATCCCCTTCCCCTGGGGTTGACTAATCCCCTCCCCTGGGGTTGACTGATTCCCTGACTATCCCCTCCCCTGGGGTTGACTAATCCCCTCCCCTGGGGTTGACTGATCCCTTCCCTGGGGTTGACTGAACTCCTCCCCTGGGTCGAATCCTCTAAGAGACAGAGGACAACCTCAGACTAGAATAGGTGATCTAGGACAGAACAATATAAAATATCATATATATATATATATATATATATATATATATATATATATATAATATATATATATATATATATATATATATATATATATATATATATATTTATATTATATTTATATATTATATATATATATATATATATATATATAATATATATATATATATATATATGTATTATATATAATAATATATATATATATATATATATATATATATATATATATATATATATATAAATATATATATATATATATATATATATATATATATATATATAATATATATATATATATTGCTGCATCTGCTTGACAAAGCGGTGAATGAAGGTTAAATCCCCTCGGGACGGTCTTATACACAAGGGGAAAAAGCTAATGACCCCTCATTAGCTTTTTCTGGCTCATGACGGGTGAAAAGGTTGACAAGGACATGAGACGGACGTACATCTGGAGACATATTGTTGAAGGTGAAGACAAGAGACGGTACATCTGGAGACAGTATTGTTGAAGGTGAAGACAAGAGACGGTACATCTGGAGACAGTATTGTTGAAGGTGAAGACAAGAGACGGTACATCTGGAGACAGTATTGTTGAAGGTGAAGACAAGAGACGGTACATCTGGAGACAGTATTGTTGAAGGTGAAGACAAGAGACGGTACATCTGGAGACAGTATTGTTGAAGGTGAAGACAAGAGACGGTACATCTGGAGACAGTATTGTTGAAGGTGAAGACAAGAGACGGTACATCCATGACGTCCAGAAAAAGCCATCTGTCGTTTTCCCCTTCCAGGACAAGTTTGGCTGATGTGTCTACCGATTTTGTGTTGCTAAGAACATTTAGTTTGTTGTAGCGCCTTGGAGGGTCGACCAGGATGGGGATCAATGTCTCACGTTACATCACTCAGGATGTGAACCTTGAATCTCCTCCTCCAAATGGCCCATAAACTGCACATTATCTTGCATACTTATTGGTGTATATTACCGTCGATATTCATGTATGTTTTAGAGTCCATGGTACTGGAGTTACTGTCGTTCATCTAGATATTTTATCGTATTTAAGTGGGAAAGGACGCCTCGGGAATGGAAGGTAATCAGGTTGTTCTGTGGAACAGAAAGGTTTAGTAATAATGGTTGAATTACCGGCAAGATGTTAGGTAAATAAACACAGATGTAACTAATGTGACATTTTATTGTGGTAGCCTTTCGATTTCCAGGAGCTTTGTCAATCCAGCTTGACAAAGCTCTTAACTCTAATAGAAAGCTTCCACTTACCTGACCGGCTTCTCCACCAAATAGCAACAGACTCAATGAGACTGGTACAACAACAGTAGATTCTCCCGTGGCAGCTTGTAGCGACAGTCAGGTTGAACAGACTCTTAACACCGAAATATTACCACAGTACTGAAGTCTGGAAACCGGATACGTGTATATCACAGGTATAATACAACATACTCGAGAGGGTGGGATTATTAACTAGGCAGGAATCAGGATCAAAATTTCTAATTTGAGATGTAAATTAACGCTAAAAGAGAAAGAGAGAAGAATCCTAATTGTGAAGGACGAGGAGAAAGTGGAAGAAAGTGCAGAAGTTAACAAGGTATTAAAAGTTCTTAAGCTGGGAGGCAGCCATGAGCGTCCCGGGATTAGAATTCACGTGGCAGGAATATTTCCCAGCTTGTCTAAGCCGATTTGACCGCGTCTGAGCACGCCTGAATGCATTTGAGCGGAGATGAGCGTACCGGAATGCTTGTAGGAGCACACGTGACGCTGCTGAACACGTCTAAACGCATCTAATTAGGTCTGAACACGCCCTGAACGAGTACCAACATACCTGAACACGTCTGGGCACGTTCCGGCGTGCCCAGACCCTTCTGAGCCAAAATATGCTAAATAAAGTTGCTAAATAATCGACAGAGGCATTCATCAGTTTTCTTACAGAATCCAACAATTCCAAGA